CACTGAATCCCTTCTTCTTCTAGATTTTTGGAGCCTTTTTTATGCACACTAGTACGTTTTAAGAGCAGAATTGTTCCTAAAAACAATGGCACTAATCTGATGGAATAGTTATCAATTATAAAATTATTATCGATTTGTACTCAAGCTTTACCCCCCCTGGTTAGTGTTTTGAATTCTTGCTCTAATAATCCTCTGTAACGATATTTCTTTTATGAAGCCTTCTGTGTTGCGCACTGCACCATTTCCTCTTGTAGCACAACAACCACTCAGCATAATCCTGCCACCTCCATCCCTCACAGCCAAGTTGCATTCCTGCCTATTTCACTACAACACTTGCTTTACTCTGAAAGATTACAATTAAGGTTCTGTCAACATCTTTGAAAGGTGTTATATTTTTGCTTTGGGATTGATCTACACATTTTGCATTTAAAAAAAATGTACTCTTAGACGCAGAAACGTTCCACCTAATAAACAGGATGTCCATTTTGTGTATATTTGCATCTAATTGTTTAAACAGATAAATCTGGCCCTGTCAGGCTTCTCTTTCAGAAGATTTATTTGATAGCACTTTATCAAAAACATTGGAAGGCTCTTTAGAAATATTGTTTAAATACAGGCGAGAATATTTCCTCAACAGGGACATTGTCTTTTTTTGTCTTTTTTAATTTGTTTTGTTTAATCTTTTTCATGTCCCTCTCATGGGCACCATTTTTTTTTTAAAGTTTTCTCTTCAATAACAATGCCTTGGTGAAGAAAAAGGTTTAATGTGACCTGGTTTTACTTTAGAGTTGTGACTTTAGTTGCTGTAACAGGGAAGGTTTTGCTTATTTTGTCCAGTAAAACTGGTCTTAAATTCAGGAGGGCTACCTAGAGCTGGTCACTCTACATGGATACATCCTGTAAAAGCAGGGCAATTGGAATCAGAGCAGAGGAAGGAAGGAACAAAAGATGAGTGCAGTTAAAAAAAAAGAATCAGCGATGGAAGAATTCAATATTACAGTTAATTTATTAGACCTGCCACTTGTTTCATTGAATTCTTTCTGTACCAGTTCCTCTTTAAAGATAGAAAGGATTCATTGTGAAAGGATTAGACATTGTAAATGTTAGTTTTTAGGAACTTAAAAGCAAAGATCCAATATGTAGCATTTTTAATTAATTAGATGTATATATTATGACCTTATTCTGAACAATATGTTCTCACTAAAATGATGAGGTTTGTTCAAATGTAATTATAATTATTCAGAGATGCAGCAAACAACATTCTCTAAACTTTAGCTTCTAACAGGAACAAACTTTAGGGTAACTAGTCTTTATTTGGGGTATATGTTATCAATTCTGCTGATAGTAGGACATAAGGGTGTTACTTTGGACAGCAGGACATGGATGGCATCTTGTCTTTCTTTCCTGTTTGGATTGTAATTTCCTCAGGGCATTGATCGTTCAGAGGGAATGCTCTAATCTGGAACCTCACTTCCCTACCAGTTAGGTTTAAAAAGGATTTATACAGTCTGTGCATTAGGGTTGTCATGATATTAACAATTCAAACTATAGCATTTAATACCATGGAGATAAAAAAAAAAAAAAAAAAAATTGCAGACATATTTTTTTTATAGTATGTGGGGCTGAGCGATATGTCTCAAAAATCCAATCTCCTTTTCTTTTTTTCATAAAATTTAATTTCTTTTTCTTTTTGATATATATTGCATTCAAACAAGTTTTTAATCCAATCATCCTCTCTGGGAGGTGACTATAATTTAAAGAGCAATGAAAGTCAAGCTGTGAAAAATGCTATAAAACTGCACAACAACAAAAATATAACAAATTAAATGTTTGAAGTGAATGGTATTACACAGAGTTAATTTATCAGCTAAAACACATCCAAAAACAATTGGTAAAGAACTGATGTTCCTATAAACTATGGAAGCCTAGACAAAAAAATAAAATAAAATGTTTTATTGCACAGCACTTTTTGTTTTAAAAGTTTTCCTTTTTCAATCTCAACATCGAACATGCTTTCTTAAAAGAATCACACATTCAGGTTAGATAAGTGTACAAATTAAATACAAAATAAAACTCAACTATAAAAAGAATTGAAGATTAGATTTTTAGCCATATCTCTGATCCTTAATTTTAAGGCCATCTGCTGTATTATTCTTTAATGTCCAAGTAGTCCAGAGAACTAAAATTAACAACAGCAAAAATATGCAAAGTGCTAAATTAATATTGTATACAGATGGTGGGTCTAAGTATCAATACTTTTTCTGCCCATCTTTTTTGTTGACACCCAGTGCATACCACTTTTCAGAAGTTTAACCCTAAAGTAAGAAAAAAAGAAAAAAAAAGAAAAGCCACATCTAATTCAGCACGTATGTTTCCTGGTTTTAGACGTGTCTGGCTGCAGAACTGCACTGTCAGGAACCAGACATGCACTGTTAGGACCCTTCGTAGCAGACCTGCATAATGCAGCCTCCCGCACTGTTTGGAACGGAAGTTTATTCTGGATGTTTTAATCAAAGCCTTCAGGAATGGCGCATAGCATGTATCTGCTGCCGGATTTTATTAGAAGAAGAAATAGTTTTAGTTTTTAAATAAAATTTTCACTATAGAAAAAAACTTCAAAGAAAATAAAATAGACATTTGGATTTTTTTTTCTTTTGTCTTCTGTTTTCTCCGGTGTAATGGAAAAAGAAAAGAAAAGAAAAGAAAAACAGGTTATTGGCTATATTGGTTAATGCATCTAGCTATTCAGTAATTCACTGTGAGAACACAAAGAAAAGTTAATTTAAATATCAAACACCCTGCATTGTTAGATCTATATGATCCAACAGCCATGGTAAGAACATAGCACAAACAATACTAAAATAATAAGAATATATATTATAATACTTGCAAGCATGCATAAGAGATAAAAACTAAATTAATTTTGTTATTTTGATATTTTCTTGTTTTTGAACCTAATCCAGTTGAACTGGAAATAAATTATATATAAATCATTAAACACATGAATAGAGAAAAAAATATTGCTATTGTGAAGACCCAGGGATTAAACATGGAAACTTAAAATATTTCCGACATACTAGCTTTAATTTTATTTCGCTTTTACTTTGAAAGGCTTTGAATAAACTTCCATTTCCGACAGCGCAGGACACCTTACAGTGCAGGTCTGCAACGAAGGGTTCTGACAGTGCAGGTCTGCCGCTAGACTCTCTTGCTTCGTTTTGCACTGTAACTTTGTACAACACCTTCGAATTTTACATAACTGTTGACTCAAAGATTTCTTTCTATGTTCCTTACAGTTAAGGAGATTGCAAGAGAGGTGGAGGCCAATGAGAAGATGAGAAATCAGATGGAGAGGAAAACTAGACCTGTATGTATTCATTGATATAAAGAGACATTTAAATATGGATAGTTTCAGTTTATTTATGAAATCTTCAGTACTGCTTATAGCTGTTAAATAAAAGGAGTGTTTTTACATATGAAGACAGACGGCTTGTTTGTGGCAAAGGAAAAAATGTACAGGACTGCCCTAAACATATTTTTTTTCCTTTAAAAAAAATAAATAAATAAATAAGTTGAAATTCAAAGCTACTTAAAATATTTTGAAAGTCATGTTCTCTCTCTAGTTATGGTTTATGTAATTATAAATGTTAATTTTCACTTTAATCTCTTGCAGGTAATGGTTTTCTCAAAGAACCAATCTGAGAAAGAGATTGACGAAATGCATTTAACTTATAGTAAGTGGTTTAATTCCCCCCCCCCCCCCCCCACTTCTTTTATAAAGGGTTTACACCTAATATGGTGCATTTTAAACAGAGCATTTTAAATCCTGCTACACCTGCTGATACAAGCTTTTAAAGTCATTTCCCATTACCTTTTGAGATTAGCCTCCACTTCTGTCTCACAGGAGTGTGTGAGCTAGAAATTTGGATGGTATTACGCAAACGTACAGCCTGTTCTGTGCCACAGTTCCTGATAAGTATGATTAGTGGTTATTCAATTGGAAAGATCTACAGACATAGGTTGGCAGCAATTTTGGCTCCATTGATTATAAAACACTCCACAACGTATGCAACAGACTTTATTTCCAAAGTCCGGCATTTGAGACTTGCTCCATGTGAAACCATTATTTCTTTTGAAGTAACCTCTATCTTCACCTGCATTCCCATATCAAAGGCAGTAAACACATTCAAGACACTACTGGAAAATGATGAAACTCTCATATACAGGGATAACTTTTACAGAGAGAAACATGGGTGCACCATGAGCTCCTCAGTTTCAGCCAGTTGCCAATATCTATATGGAAGAACTCAGGACATAGAAGGGATCACAACCAACTCTGGTTCAAAAATGTGGATGACACCTGGGTCAAAATCCAAACCCAGGAAGTTGCGGCATTCACCAATCACATCAACTTAGTGGACAGAAACATCAAGTTCACTAGAGAGGATGCCAAGAATAAAATATTGCCTTTTCTGGTCCGTGCTGTGAAAAAACCAGAAAGATTTTCTAGAAACGCAACACACTGGGGAATTTCGAACCCAACAACACACAGACAAATGGTTCATCCTGAAGACAGAACACTCAAACCCAAGCTGAGCGGCATTGTGTAAGATCCAGTGCAGTATGGACTGTGCAGCCTCTTATATTGGAGAAACCAAACAACAACTACACAATTACATGGCAAAGCATAGGAGAACCAGCAGCTCTGGGCAAGATTCAGCTGTACACCTTCACCTGAAGAACAAAGGACACACCTTTGAAGACCAAAGTGTTTAGGCCTTGGATACAGAGGACAGATGGTTTGAAAGAGGGGTCATGGAAGCCATCTTTGTAAACAGACAAAAGCCATCACTGAACAGTTTTAGCTTCCAAGCATTAGCAATTCAGTCATTCAACTCATCTCAAAGAAATCACATAAGCACTCCAGTTTTTATTCAAACGACCAATCACAGAGCCAATGCACAACAAAAGGCTCCAACAATACAGAAGAATAAGGGGTGCTCCTTAAATAGATCAGTGCTCCTGCTAGAGATTGATCTGGAGTGAGCCAACAGCATTGACAGAGACTCTTGGATCGGTGTCTAAACGTCTTCAAAAACCGAGCAAAAGTCTTGGTGCCTTCCAATTAAACCAGTTTGTGTTTGATCAACATACAATTATTTATTATTTGACATTTTTGCCACAAAACATCTACACAGGAGCCTGCTTTTAATGCAGTTATTTGCTCTATCACTCCAAATGTTCTGTTTTGCAACAAATAATCAAACTTTTTTTTGTCCAGTTAATCAGCAGATTAATAGATTATTGAAAAAATTGTTACTTGTGGGCCTATAAAAAACTAAACTTAATAAAACTTTTAAAGCTGCTTTATATTTGCAGTTTAGCAGCTCAAGTTAATTTCCAAATAGGTTGAAATCCAGTTTCTGACTCTTCATTCTGGCTTTCCTTTTTGTATTTTTGGATTATTCTGTTTCTGATATTTATGCAAACTGTCTAGATTCAAGATTGATCTCCATCCTGTAAATTATATTTGCTACACATTAGTTGAAATTACCTTTGAATAAGGTAAGGGATCCCATTTGGTACATCGGCTAAGGTTGTTGCCTGCAGATTTGAGGTTTTTTAGCAGAGCCAAAGAGATATAGGTATTTGATTGTATTTTGATTCTGGTTCTTCCGCAATTTCCTAAAACACAAGCTTTTTTTAAGCATTAGTGCTTGTATTTTGTGCTGTTCCAGTCAGAATGTATGTGGGAAAAAAACTACCTTGGTCATTGTAGAGTCAGAGCATCACAGAAACAGCAGGGGGCCTTTTTATTTTAAACAAAGTGCTGCCTAACAATATAGGAGAATATTCCTGTTCCTTTGAATAGTTCCATTTTCACAATATAAAATCATTGCACGTCTCACCATTGTTGCGCAACCATATCTAGACTTTTAATCTGTGCGGGAAGCTTCTGTTTGTAGAGATACCCTTTATCTGTGCAATACAAAACTCATTGCAAATGAATAGATATTATTTGACACCTAGAGGGTGATGAAATGGAAAGTTTGTTTCACAATTTTTGATGACATGTCTAGATAACTGGTTCAAACTGAATTTAATGACTGATGTTTTGTATCTAAAAGATAAACAAACAAAAGAAACCTCAGTAACAAAGGATGGTTTCACAATCACAATTCAAGTCATGCTGACATAGTTGGATTGGAAAAAATATATTTTTAAAGAACAACTTTATGAAGCTAACTTTAAAAGTGTGTGAGGAATGGATGTGACTCACAGGAGGTGGATACTATTAATAGCTGGTCTGCTGTGATAACCTCTTGATTTATCAGAGGAGGATGTGGATGAGTCACTCTGCTGGCATGGGGAACAGTGAGTGAGCAAATAAGAATGAGAAAGCAGCATACACACACGCAAACACAGAACTCTTGAGGACTTTTTAGGTTTTTCTTGTCTGACCTGTTTATTTTGAGCATGACTTATAAAAAAAGTCTTATGTCCTGTTGAGATCGCTTGTTGTATTAATGGACGCATGTTCTCCTTGTGCATACGTGGGTTTTCTCCAGGTACTCCAGCTTCCTCCCACTTTCCAAAAACATGACTGTTAGGTTAATTGGCTGCTCTAAATTCTCCTTAGCTATATATGCATGAATGGTTGTTTATCCATTTTGTCTCTGTGTTGCCCTGCGATAGACTGGCGATCTGTCCAGGGTGTACCCTGCCTCTTGCCCATTGATAGCTGGAGATAGGCACTAGCACCCCTCAGGACCCCAGCAGGGATAAACGTGACAGAAAATGGATGGATGGATAATACAAAATGCTATTTTTAAATAAAGATTTTAATTATTAAAGGATTTAAAAAAAAATATCAAGAACTACAATGATATCTTGCTAAAAAGTTATAACCCTGTTAGCCAAATAACTGGTTGAGCGACCCTTGGCGCAAATCAATACAAATAAGCATTTTGCCAAAATTTAAAATGACACCAACACTACTGTGAATGTTGTTGTCATTTAGCCACACAGGGGCTATCATGCATGAACAATCTTTTTAAGGTTAAGCCTCGTTATCTCAATATGGTTCAGGTCAGGACATTGCATGGACCAGCTAAAGTCTTCATTTTATATTTTCTCAGCAATTTAGAAGCAAAGATTTACCACTGTTCTAGCTTTTCCCCATTTGTGGATAATGACTCTGTCATTCCCTGAACTCTCAAAGCTTTTGAAATGGCTCTGTAATCTGTTCCAGACTGATAGATCTCAATTACTTTCTTTTTCATTTGCACCTGAGTTGATTTGGATCTGGGCATGGCATCTAGCTTTTAATGATTTCTTGGTTTGCTTAACTTTGTCAGGCAAGCCTCTTTTTAAAGTGATTTTTTTTTTATTAAAAAACAGGTGATAAACCAAAGTTAAGTATGTTTAATGGCAGGGGGCATGGAGTCTTGGAAACAACCTTAGCCCCTTTAACAGACACCGCACCACAGGATTTAACATCACATGGCATTATGGACAGTGACGACATCCATTGGTGAGAGGTATATGTTAGCCATTTTCATCAAAATCGTTAAATCATATTTGTTATCAAATTTGATGGAGCAGGAAATGAGGCAAGGAAAATTTGTTATGGTTTGATAATGGTCCAAAGTGTAATGGCTTGATGACTGCGTCAGAGTATCTCCACAGCACCAGCTCTTGGCAGGTGTGCCCAATCTACAGAGGCCAGACTGCCTCTTGTAATTCATTCTCTATAGTACAGCAGTAGCTACAGTAGTTTAAATTGAAAAGTTAAATCTGGTTCTAAAAGAAAGGTGTCGGACTACACCAAGCATCACAGTTGGCTTTTTATTTGACTTCATAGCTACAAATCAACCAGGATGTCCATACTGACCCCTGTTTACCTCTGTTAGAACTAAAAATGTGAAAATGAACATCAGAATAGCAACATGGAGCGATTGAAGAAGATGGCCTGGTCTGATAAGTCACATTTTACAGCATATGTAGGTCTTTGTGTACAGTGTATAAAGTGTTTCCTTTAAGAACACTTTGGACCAGGATGCACTTTGGGAAGAAGGCAAGCCAGCTGAGGAACTAAGATGCCCTTGGTGAAACATTAAGTCCCGTCATCAATTTAAATTCAACTTCTGATATGTAGCACTGACGTAAGGGTTGAATAGAATAGAACTTTATTTTTTTGAAGGTAACTGTAGTTTATGGTAACTATAGTTCCTGATTGCTGTGGACTCTTTCAACAGCATAATTCACCCTTCCTTGAAGTAAAACTAGCAATTGTTTGGAGAGCACAGATGTGAGATTTTAGTTCTCCAAATTCCACAGATTTCAAGCTTTTTTAAGCATATTTGGGATGTACTAGGCAAACAGAACCAGTCCGTGGCTTTATCCACCTCGCAACTTATGGGACTTAAAGGATCTACTGCTAACATCTTGGAGTCTGTACCTTGAAAGGTCAGGGGCTGTTTTGCGATAACAAAAACAATTTGGGCAAGTCTTCATAATCCTTTGACTGATCAATATTTATATAAAAATTGTAACATTAAATCTGCACTACGTTTCCCAAATAAGTTATAGCTCTTGCAGTAATTGTACTTTGAAGGTGATGGATTTCTAATGGGCATGTTTCCCTGTATATCACAGCCTGCAGCCGTCATTAGATCAACTTTCCAAGACTATTGCCAGCTAGAGGCGGTTAACAGCTGCTGTTTTTTGGCTTTCCTGTCACATCAGAGGTCTGTCTTGATGAGAGCTTTAAGAGGCTACACTGGAAGGTCATACAGAGAATGAACTTTGAATCATGAGCAATATGACTATGACAGGCCAGATAATTTGTTTCTGTCTGTGGAAATACTGCTTTAGCTTGTCTCACTTCGTAATTTCCAAAAAGAAAAGTAACAATTAAGGCTATTTTAATTGCATTAAGCATTAGTTATTTTGTTACCGCCGCCAAGAAGGTTGGTTTCAGTCAAGTTTGTGTGTGTGATTGTTTGTTTATCCCTCTGTGTACAGTGTAATTTGAAAAATTCTGAACAGATTTGAAGGATTTTTTTTTAACCAAAGATTCATCTCAGTCCAAGTAACAATCCATGAAATTTTAGTGATGTTCCACATCATAATCTGGATGCAAGAATTTGTTAAGGGATTCTTTAACATTTTTTGGTGGAACAAGCAGTTCCCCCCTAAACCAGAATGTGGCAGCACTGACTATTGACAGCTTTAGCATTGGATTCAAAGTCTAGAAGTATTATGCTGATGACAAAAGCACAGGAAAGGAGGGCCATGCCTCACTCACTCTTAAACTGCTGATCAAACAAGAACGCAGAATGAATGAAGGTGAGAGCAGAACAAACACCAGAGGCTTCAGACAATCGCTTATTTATAAACTTATGAAAGGATTTAAGGGAAATGTTACCAAAGATGCATCTCATGCCAAGGGACAATTAACTAAAATCTAATTATGATCCAGATCATGTGTGAGTTTTAGCTATAGGTATAAATCACAATATGGTGCAAAATTTGCTGCTTGGCAGAGGTCTGCTCTCAGAGTGCTTTTCAAGTTTAAACTTCAATAAATCATAAGGGGATCCCTTAAACAAATTAAATGGCTCATTTATTGGTTAAAAAAATACACACAAGTTGACAAAACTGTTGGTCCCCTGTTTTAATGGAAAAAAAAAAGCCCACAAAGGTCACGGCAATAACTTGAAGCTGACAGAATTTAATAACAAATACAAATTGTATGCAAGTGAACAATTATGTTTAGTGTTTAATTTCTATCAGTGATCAGATCTAATATAATCAAATTCATTTTAAGAACATTGTTTTTCTCATGTCAAGCATACGGATGCTGTTATCCAGTAGAAGAGATCATGGCGTTCCCCATGCAGTCAGACATAATCCCATTGTGTTTTATTGTTTCGCTCCAGGATCTTTTCCTGGTAAAACATGACAGGAATACTTATTTGGGGGGAAAAAAATCTGAGAGGCATGTTTGACAGTTGTCAGAACTGCCTCTGTGGATAGGGGAAGTAGGAGAAACATACTTGATATGAACTACATATTTCAGTATTTGGGCATGTAGTCATTTCTTCATCTGTCACCACTCTGTGTGTTTTATTATTAAGATTCTATGAAGAAACATACTCTGTTTATTTCTCCATCATTACCAAATAAGCTTGTATTTGTTTCACTTGGGTGTCTGCTTCACTACAACCTCAGTACATTTCATATAGATTGTTTGCACTAATAGATACAGTTTAATAGCATTAGGCCATTCACACATTTCTCCTTTTTAACTTAAGATCATCAGCTAAATATCAATATTTTACTAACAAACAAAATGATAATTGAAGTTATTTAAGGAAAGATCTATCCATCTAAACCAACACAGTCTTGTGTTTGAAAAATTAAGAATAGTAATCATTGTGGTTAATCAGAAATAATGATGATTATTCTTTTTTTTTTTTTTTTGGACAGTTGAAATTAATTTCACAAGTCACAACCAGGCCTTATTAGTGAGCATCCGACAAGTATCGTAAGACCACCCTTAATAGAACTCGTCTTAGGTCACTATTCATTTTAAGTTTTAAAAATCCAGTTTTCTATTTTTGATTCTCATTTGAAATCCACTGAGTCACTGCTTACAAAACCTAAAACTTGGGTGAACCTTCCAAAGAGTGGCCGGCCTATCATAACTACTTAAGAAGCTCCTCAAAGTCGTAAGGAAATCGTATTTAAATTTCAAATCATTCAAGCTTAAAACTGTATATAAACCTACTCTTTATCAGACCATATTGTCCCAAAAGTTAGAAAATTTCTATTTTCAAAAAAATTCTGTATTAAAATCTGTGGGTCTTTTTTTGTTATTTTATGCAGGCCAGTTAGTTATACGTCATCTTGTACACCTAAATTCGGCCAGTCATATATCAAAGGTCATCTGTCAATCAAATTTCTTCGGGCATAGCATCTTGATTCATATGTCGATGCTAATATACTCAACAGTTGAAATAAGAAATACAAATAATTTATTTTGCCATTGAGTTCCGTCCCAGTGTTCACGGGGAGGGACATCTGTGTCTTCGGCAGGCGTAGAGCTAACAGAACTGACAGCGTTGCGAGGCAAGTGCTCAAACATTTACGGCTGTAAGCCTTCTACACCAAACCAAGCTTCTGGTGTCCTCTTCCACAACATCTTCATCCCCGCTTTCCTCCTCTACATAAAAAAATGTATGACAGAGGAGACTCATCCACGATCTCCGACACAAAACCCTCCTCCTCTTGCATGTTTTTGCTGTCCATAGCGTTTCTTGACAGTGTCGTTGCTAAGTGCTACTTGGTCCCAATGTAATTTCCCATTTGGGAACCTACTAGCACTAGGTTACAAACTGGTTAGCAAGATGCTTCCGAGACACCGGCCACAATCAAACATGCTTGGGAACCTTCCGCCACAACAATCCTGCCCCTTTATAATCGACCAATCACATTAACTTGTTTAAAGTTGGGTACCACTCGGGAGAACTCGGAACTGCAACGTTGGAACAGCTGCTTCCCTACGATGGAACAGCTGCTTCCCTACGACTTTAATGATTCATCCAGGAGAACTAAAAGGAATCCATAGCAACCCCTAAGTGTAGGCCCATTTGTCTTTGTTAATGTATATGTTTTATTCAAAAACATGATAAAAAGACACACTGTCTTTTAGGGAGAGAAAAGAGAAAACATACTGTGGACTGATGAAATAAAAATGTAATTTTCTGAAAGGTGTGTGTGTTATTTGATCTTGCAGAAACCTCCAATTAATCATTCTGACAGTGAATCATACTGCTGGTAGTAAGAGGTTCTGAGGCTGCCTTGCTGTTCCATGATTTTGACGACAAATAATTCATGAATTTTGGCTTTATAACAGAAAATGTTGCTTAAACATATGAGAAATACAATGATCCCAGGCCCCCCAAAAAGCAAAGACCAAATTATCTTTGAAATCTGAACTTTCAGCTAACTAAAAGTTACTAAATGAGGGTTAATCAGGCCCTTATGCTTCAAAACATTTAAGAGTGCAAGCTTAAAAACTACTATGCCAAAAAGATTGGATGAAAATTCCCCCACAAAGATTTAAAAGACTTATTCCAAGTTATTTTTTTTTCAGTTACTTTTTGTCCTGTTGGATTAGGAGTATAGTTACTGTTTTGCACGGGCACATATTGACTTAGAAAGACTTTTCTCTGGATAAGTAAAATCTTCATTTCAAAACTATTGTTGTATTTATTCGAGTAACTTGTGTAGTTTTAGAATTTGTATAAGCTGAAATATTTAAGTGCAAACAGCAGAAATGTGAGGTATGAATACTTTTTCAAAATCTTCTAATCTGTCTCATGTTGAAACTTACAAAAATATCCTCCGACATTGAAGAAAACCAGTCCGTCCATCTTTTCAACCTTATGAAGGATTCAAAAAGGAATATTGACATTAATTCAATTGAGCTGATGTATTACAGAAAGTTGCCTGACATTGAAATATGAGCCTACATTCAATATGCAGCATTTGTTTAGGGTTTTCAAAACCTCAACCATATTTCCTTTGATGCACCCAGCTGAATTTAGTCTGCTCTTTACCAATCATTACCTTAAAAGCACTTGGTCATCCCACCTATGCGTCTCCCTCCTCAATTATTGAGAGCCATTACGTTTATAGCATTAACAGACAAAAATTTTTACTGTTATTTAATGCACACGGGTTTCTCTGTTGTCATTTAATGTCCTTTGTCTCCACAGGAAAGCAGCACAGCAGTGACTTCTCCCGGCTAATTGCACAGGTCCGAGGCCGAATGCAGACCAGACACCAAACATGTGCTAAACAGGAGGGGAAGGTGGAGAAAGAAGAAGCCCAAGCATCACAGTCTTCTGGTAATCTTCAAGGCAAAAGTGTCACTAGGTTTTACATTTGAGCCTATAAAATCACCCTCAGCTAATTGGCTTATTTCAGTTAAAACTTTGTTTAAGAAAGCTCTACTGGGAAAAAAAATTCTACACAGATCCCCCGGAGTTAAATGCATAGTCTGACTTTGTGCAATTTATTATAATAATTTTATTTTATTGATCTCACAATGGAGAAATTCAATTCTGCATGGTAATCCGTCCCCTTGGGGAGCAATGGGCTGCCACTGTGCGGTGCAATGAGGAGCAATCGGGGGTTCAGGGTCTTGCTCAGGGATCCAGTGGGCAGGCTGTGGGGATCAAACCAGGTATTTGCAAACTTCTTAGAGCACAAGCGCCCTGCAGTAATCACTACGCCACTACGTCCCCTAAAGTGAAATCTATTAGAAACTAAAGCAGGTACACATCACAGCATTAAGCCCTTGTCACAACTTGACGATTTAGCTAGTGTATGCCTAAAATACGAAAAATCTGGCAAAAACGCTGGCATATGTTGGATAATATATGGGTACGTTTTGTAAAAGTTATGAGCACGCTGAAGAACGCTGAAACACGCTGGCACACATGGACATACAGTAAGCACGTTGAGAAATTTTGAGCTCAAAATTTCTCAACGTAAAAATCTCTCCGCGTATGCCATACGTGTGGCATAAGTTACTGTTAAGTTATCTGATCGTCGACACACGTTAAGTGCAAGTTACACATAAATCGTGGTGTCTAAATGTTCCAAAACGTATGAATAACTTGTGCATAACTTATGCGTAACTTATCAAGAACTTATCTCCAACGCATATCAACGGATCTGATGTGTTTCCAACGTACAGTTACCGTGTAATGGAGTATTGGCAGTGTTTTGGTATAAAAGTGGGTTCACAGGAGGAAACAGTCAGTTCTCCTCCAGACTTCATCCCCATCATAGGGATATAAGTTTTGGACTCGTTATAAACCCTCTATGTATATGCCCAAAATTGAAAAAATACAAAGTTCAGAGTATGCCAGGGTTTTAGAAGATTCTGGGATGTCAGGCATACTACTGGCTAAATCATCAAGGTGTGACAGGAGCTTTAACAGCGTTTCTAATTTGTCTAATAAAATATTTATCAATCCTATCAAGTTTAAACCATAAACTAGATATTTTATTTCTTATTTCTTTATTTCTTCAATTTCTTATTTTTCAAAAATGCACTGGAGACTGACACTTGGTACTGTCTAAACCTTGTAATCACGGAGAGGAGAAATTTATCAGCCGTTAGTCTGTCTTTCCTCCTAATCAAAGAGGACTTTATGACTATGTATTTTATGTTTTTGTTATTCCATACCAACTCTTTTAGGAGAGTCTACATATAAAGAAGTTTATTTTGGAAAAAATAAAAGATTTTCTCAAACTTGTCGGCAGTAGTTGTCACGCTGCAGATTAAAGTCAGATAATTCCCGTGCAAAAAGCATTGACTCGTATCCCAGCAAAATCCCCTTGATGAGTTCAGGGGCTTGAATGCTCCTAATAGAACTTACACTTATATGTTTAGCTGCACATGGCGCCTTGCAGAAAGCCAAAATTAAAAAGTCAAAATTCATACTGACTTTTGTCGTTACACTTTTATCCAAAATGAAAAAAAGAATTCAGATGCCAAATTACTCACCAAAATCAATTGTTTTGTATTTCGTGCAGTTCATGGTGCAGAAGCAAACCATGCTGTAGAGGTGAAGGTCGAAAACGTGGAAGACGATGAAGATTCGCCTGCAACAGTATTAGGGCTGCCATGTAGCCCCAGTGTCAGTGATGTGTCCATCAGCAGGTGAGGTACCACCTAATGAATAGTTTGATTTATATCAAGGGCGTAGGTTTGATTTGAACTTTGGTAGGGACACTATTGGTCTGGTGTCATTGGTGCTATGCAACATGCCCTTTTTTATGCTCGATGTGAGCATCCGTACTGATAAGAGGAATTCATTGTTAAAAGAGAAAAACAACATTTTGCTCCATTAATAAAAATGTTATAAGCTCTACACTCATTAGATGCTGTTTATCAATGTTGAAGTATCACCGGCTCTGATGAATGTGGAATTAGGACTGTTTTCCACTTTGAAAACGGTTTCATTTGAACGACTAAGAGAGAAGATAAATACAGTATTTTCTTTTGAAGATATAGAATTGTGCAGAGTTAAACCCCACTCTAATATTTGTACCTACTATTCTCTCTCTATATCAGGCAAAATAATACATTCATTAAAATATTAACTTCACTATAAAAGTTGAACATCTGGGCTGTAATTACTCTGTGTAGCGATATTTCATGTATTTCATCTGGGGCTGAAAAAAATGAATCATATTAATTGATTATTTCAATAATCGTCAACTAATTTAGTGAGTGATTCATCATTAACTGGAGTATAGAGACTTTAAAACATACAGTAATATAAATGAAAAATGTGCCTTTCCCCACAGAGCAACCCACTTAGATCAGTTATTATATCAAAATTGTAAAAATAAAAACAAACAATGAAAACAGTAATATCAACTAAATATCGGTAAAAAGGAAACCCTCAAATTTTCTTTTTTAGTTGGCTGTGGCTAAGAATCAGAAATGTTGATGGCTTACAGCCTTTATTTGCCCATTTTTCCAGCAGTTTTCAGAACTCCTGGCTAACTCAGAATATTTCGTTTTATAAAAGAAAAAAAAAGTTTTTGTTTTTTAGTGTACATGATATTCATTTTTTTTATTGGGACTAGTTTTGTAGCCTAATATTAATTGTATTAAACGCTGCATTCTAGTGTGAATAAATTTTCAATGTTGTGCTCCAAGCACACGCGGACTAGAAAACAGCCAATCAGAGAGAGAGAAGGCGGAACTTAAGGCAGAATAACCAATGAGAGTTGAGTTAAACAGCGCAGCACAGTTCCATGCGCTGCTACATGAAAGGGACAGGAGAGACCAGGCAGAGGAGCTGCAAGAGGAAAAGAAGCCACTGCTGCAACAACTACTGCTGTAAATTATAAACATGTTGCTCACATCCAATTATTGGTCGGGACAATTAGGTCGGTTCAGAATTTTGGTAGGGACATGTCCCTATGGTCCCTATGCAAACCTACGCCCATGATTTATATACTCTTTGAAAACAGAACTGGGCTTTATTGTAGGCTGTAATCTAGACAGCATGTTTTGCTGTGGATTCGGTTATTTTATATGACACTGAAAAAATGTACAATTGTTTCAGCATATTCTGTTCTGAAAACCAAAAATTTAAATCTACGCCATAATAAGATTGCTTCATTTAAAAACAAAACACCATCATTACTTCTATTTGTTTACATTATGACTTCTATTTCCTCTTTTTTCTGCTGCCAAAATTATTTTCATATTGCTAACAAATTGATTATTTGCCTTACTGTTTCAACAAGTGTGGTGTTTATATCTTGATAGTTATTTTTTATACTGCTACACAGATTCACATAGAAAAATGAAAGGATCAAAAATGACTACCTTTATCCCAGACCAATGACACAAACCCTGCTGCTATAGGTCTGTGCTGCTATATGAGCGAAGAAAGAGCCATGCTTTCCCTAAATTATCATTCAATTAAATTTAAATTTCAAAAAAGGGTTTTATAGTGTCTGGAATACTGAGCCGCCAAATAGTTTTTTATTTAAGTAAAACCCACTTGTCCTAAATTTTATATGATAATAATAGAAGAATAAACTCTTACTGCCTAATGTTCAGCTAAGCACATCTATTGCATACCTAAAGGTGTACCAGTAACCTTATGCCGTCTTGTTTGATCAACTTTTAAATGGGTCAGTGCAATATTAGCAATTCACTTGTTTTGGGCCGATCGATAAATAGAAAAAATACTTCACATATTAATCGATTAGCAAAATGATCGTTAGTTGCAACTCCACATTAAAGTGATATCTTTTGCAGTTTTTTTTTAAAAGTATCATTTTAAAGTAGCATATATTAAAGAAAAAACAACCTCAAAAATCAACCCAACACTTATAAAATCTTCTAAAGGTTGGTCTTAAGCCCATCTTCACAAACAAATGTTCTATCTGAGCAGTAGCTTGACATCATCACAATTAAATCATTAAAGTCTCTGACATCTTTGACCATTTGTGCCTAAAGCCGAAGGTACAGATGTGCCTTATATTTACCACTGGTATCAAAATAAAAAACATAAAAAACACAATGTGTGCTTTTTTTTCTTTCAGAACCCAAGCCAAGGTTTTTAGATGTCTGAGCTAATTAGTTATTTTCTCTTCTATCCAGAGATGCAAAGTGTTACAGTGAATTCCTGCAATTATTTCCTCTTAAGCTTAATTATTACTCAGAGGGTAATTACAATAATCCAAGGTAAATAAAGCCCCAAATTACAGACAACATTAGCACTCACCGAACCATTCATCTAATACTGATTGCCTCCTGTCTGTTTTAAGTGCTGCAACAATCAAACAAATCAGCCATTTAGATTTTACCCTGATGTCTAAAATATCCTCCTCAGTTCTATTATGTTTTAAACTACATTAATTTTTTCTATCACAAAACATCCACTGGTTTAAAGTCAGTATGCTGTGCAAAATGTCTCTTTCATTGTTTACTAAATATTGATCAAACTATTAATAATTACACATCTCATATGTCTCTAAAAATGTAATAAGCAGATATGTTGAAATGCTATAAATTAGATTCCCAAATAGAAGTGCATTAAAATATAAGCATGTTCTTTAAGGCTGGTTTGATTTACTTTTTTATGATTACACAAATAGATTGGAAAAACATGTACGAAGCAATGAAATGGATTGTAATATTATTCAAAATAATATTAGCAATATGACCATATGTTTAACAATATTGGTGAATGTTACAGTACAGGTCCTTCTCAAAATATTAGCATATTGTGATAAAGTTAAATATTTTCCACGATGTAATGATAAAACTAAACGTTCATATTTTTAGATTCATTGCACACTAACTGAAATATTTCAGGTCTTTTATTGTCTCAATACGGATGATTTTGGCATACAGCTCATGAAAACGCCAAATTCCTATCTCACAAAATTAGCATATCATGAAAAAGTTCTCTAAACGAGCTATGCACCTAATCATCTGAATCAACAAATTAACTCTAAACACCTGCAAAACATTTCTGAGGCCTTTAACACTCGCAGCCTGGTTCATCACTCAAAACCCCAATCATGGGTAAGACTGCCAACCTGACTGCTGTCCAGAAGGCCATCATTGACTCCCTAAAGCAAGAGGATATGACACAGGAAGATATTTCTGAACGAATAGGCTGTTCCCAGAGTGCTGTATCAAGGCACCTCAGTGGGAAGTATGTGGGAAGGAAAAAGTGTGACAGAAAACGCTGCACGAGAAGAGGTGACCAGACCCTGAGGAAGATTGTGGAGAAGGGCCGATTCCAGACCTTGGGGGACCTGCAGAGGCAGTAGACTGAGTCTGGAGTAGAAACATCCAGAGCCACCGTACACATGCGTGTGCAGGAAATGGGCTGCATTCCCCAGGTCAAGCCACTTTTGAACCAGAAACAACGTCAGAGGCGCCTGACCTGGGCTACAGAGAAGCAAAACTGGACTGTTGCTCAGTTTTGCATGTCATTTGGAAATCAAGGTGCCAGAGTCTGGAGGAAAAGTGGGGAGAAGGAAACGCAATAAATGCCAGAAGACCAGTGTCAAGTACCCTGAGTCAGTGATGGTCTGGGGTGCCATGTCAGCTGCTGGCGTTGGTCTGCTGTGTTTTATCAAGGGCAGGTTTAATGCAGCCAGCTATCGGGAGATTTTGGAACACTTCATGCTTCCATCTGCTGAAAGCCTTTGTAGAGATGAAGATTTTATTTTTCTGCACGACCTGGCACCTGCTCACAGTGCCAAAACCACCGGTAAATGGTTTACTGTCCATGGTGTCACTGAGACCATGGTCAGTGAGCCAATTGAGAGACGAAAGACCCAACACTCTAAATGAGCTAAAGGCCGCTGTCGAGGCATCCCGGGCCTCCATAACACCTCAGCAGTGCCACAGGCTGATTGCCTCCATGCCACGCCGCATTGAAGCAGTCATTTCTGCAAAAGGATTCCCCACCAAGTATTGAGTGCATAACTGTACATAATTATTTGAAGGTTGACCTTTTTTTGTATTAAGAACACTTTTCTTTTATTAGTCGGATGAAATATGCTAATTTTGTGAGATAAGAATTTTGTGTTTTCATGAGCTGTATGCCAAAATCATCTGTATTAAGACAATAAAAGACCTGAAATATTTCAGTTAGTGTGCAATGAATCTAAAATATATGAATGTTCAAGTTTTATCATTACATAATGGAAAATAATGAACTTTATCACAATATGCTAATATTTTGAGAAGGACCTGTATTATATGATGTGACTTACAGTGAATAATTTTGGTGTTAATCATAAATATGTTAATGTCTCGGTGAGTAGGTTATCTAACCAATGGGAAAAAAGAAATAAGTAAAGTACTTTTTTCTTGCTCCTGGCTAAAGATTGTTGTTCGGCATAATAAACAACTGATGTATATTTGTTATATCTTGATCTCCTTCCCCCTTTTTACCTTGGCAACATCTATTGGCAAATTTTTTACAATTACATAACACTTCTGATATATGTGCTAAATAATGTTAAAGTCCTAGAGATATGTTTTTTATCGTCTGTAATTAAGCTGTGGTGTAAACAGTTGTGGAAACGGACATTAATGTAAGTCTTGGATGACTATAGTGGTTTTTGTTTAACCTTAAAGAGTTCTCTCTTTTCACATCCCTTCAAGTTGTTTTCTGATGTATTGCTCAAACTGTATGCCATTGCCAATTAGAATAGAACTATTGAACTTGTCCTGTTCCCTCTGTGGGTGATTAAATACCACAACCTTGGTCTAAAAGATCTGGTATGGTTAAAGGATCATGGTTAAAAGCTACCTAGGTGTATATCGTATCATCATTTTTTTTGTTTAAAGGCAGCAAATTTGAACTTGTAAATTACATCTTTTTCATTCTCTTACTCTTTCTTTCTTCTTTTTTAGTTCTATTTCAGACATTTTTGGTCCAGAATCTTCTCTAAACATTGAGTAAGTTCTTTTTATAATTTTGATCAATTATATTAAATAAATGCAGTCCTGTTTCTGCTTACAGCTTGCTGGAAAATCTTTCTGCTGCCTCTGACTTTACTTTCACTCCAGTTTTTAAAAATCCAAATGCTGAGACAGAATTTCACTTCAAGTTCTTTGCTTTAAAAAATAAAGTATATTGTACATTCTCCCATCTGTATGACTGCTGCATATCTTTAAGTGTTTAATCAAACACAAAAGCTATTAGGAAATACATTAGAAAGCTTTTTTGAAGGGAATCATTTATCCTATAAATACCGAATCGTTAAGAGTTGTCGATTCTATGTCTCAATACTGTCCCTGCTTTTTTGTATCAGATTGATCTGCAGAAGGTGACCCAACAACTGGTATTAAAAACTGTTCTAGCAGCTCAGCAGAAAGAAACCATGAGTCAAATTAGCTGTCATGAGTCAAGTTACAGTAGCTGTCATTATCCAAAGCTACTTTGTGGGTTTCTCAGTAGCTTCTGTCATTGAATTGATATTGTCCCTCTGCAGCCCTGCTGATTTGTGACCCAGTCATAGACTTGCTGGGAGAAAGCTTTGTTGTTTCCCAGTTTCCCATATTTCCTTAAATTTCACCCCCCTGAAAATTTCAACCTGAAAAGTTGTCAGTCAGGCTTTTTTTTCATTGTCTCCCCCTTAAGGTCATATTTTTATGAGGGTTTATCTTTAAAGAAATCTGCTATTTTAGTTTGTGAAGTTAAAATCATCAGATGTGTTGCTGCCAATGCAGTTTAAAAAGTTTACATTTTATAGCCTAGACAATCAGTTCTGTTAGTCAGAAGACTGACAGCACTGATTCTTATGTATATAGATAGATAGCTCTTATTTTAATCAAATGATTTTGACAGTTCAATAAGACCATCACACATCTGCTTATCCCCAAAGGCCACAAATACATTACTGCAGCAACCTAAAGCTCATTAACTTGCGAACCACGATCAGAGGACACTGAATCATATCCTCACATTGGTGTTTTCAGGACAGAAAATGTCATCATGTCATCTGTGAAGTTTTTCTCACTGCTGTTTTCAGTTTTACTCAAATGAAGTGGACCAAATACAAACTGAAAGGCAGTGTCTTTAATTTTTTTTTTTTTTTTTTTGGTAGAGGGAGGTTCTACCAATATTGACATAAATGCTCTGTTTTTTCTCTGGCCCTTATATCAAGTTTAGGTTGGCCAATTCTCTTTCAGTATATGACCAGTAGTCTCATTTCCTTTTGGGCTAATGATTCAAATAATAATTTTATCAAATAAAGCTTAAGCACCATCCTTTTGCCTTACCCCACCAGGAACACTCCCTATTTGGATGCCTTATCACTTTATTTTCTTTTCGAGCAACACCTGGTCTTCTGATGAAAATTCCTTCACTGGAATGGGTTTTTTCCTTCCAAAGAGCTGAGATAAAAAGGTTTCAAGACATTACTTCAGGCTGAAGGGTGCTGCATACATCTATAATGGAATCAGCTGAACAGAGGCCCCTTCATGTGTAGCTGGGAGTAGTTCAACAAATGAAACACTGATTTTATGGGTCCCTTTTGGATTTCTAAGCCTTGATATCTGTAGATTGGTGAAAGTTGAGGAAGTGCCAGACAATAATACATCTGTAACTCAGCCACTGGTGTTAGATTCTCCTTTAATAAACTTTTCTGTTGCAAGTCTGCAACTGGTGGGCTTGTACTCACTTTTATCAAACAATGTTGTATAAATAGTCCATATGGCTTCTGTGAGCTGAATAAAAAGACTTATTCACAGTGTACTAATGCAATGCAGTCTCACTCCCAACCCGTCAAACATTGATGGTTGGTAAAGCCTCCTGAGCGTCAGATACTGATGCAATGGGGTATCTCTGTTGTCATTTGAAATGCAGGGTACATGACAGGTTATAGCCGGAACTTGCTAACATTTTCCATGAACTGGAAATTAAAAATCTCACTGACCCATCCCTAATCACTAAACCTAAAGGAACACTGGTATACTTGTTACCATGAACCCCTACAGCTAGCAAGACTAATTTTTTATTATTTAAGCCAAATACTTTAATGCATTCTTTTTAATACCCCTAGTGGGGTATATGAATTTAGAGTCATTTATACCATTAAGATATAAACATTTTGAGAACATTCTTATAGATCGTTAATTAACTTTTATTTGGAAAGATGGTAAATATAACCCTTTCCACTTGAGGGCTTGTTCTAACGAAAAAAGCCATAACTATTGGAGAGAATATTATTTTTTTTAAAGGGTTAACATAGTCTGAAACTTAAATTGGTGCTGCGTATTTAAAGAATAATCAGCTCTGGCAGAACCTGGTTCTTTTCTCATGTGCCTACTCATGGATGTTTTTAGATGTAGACAAGGGTCAGCAAGGGAACCCTGGCTTCACTCTAGCCACAGTATGCATTTCCTTACACAACAGCTGCAATATCCTGTGTTTTCTGACACATAGCCTGCAATAACTTCTACAGCTATTTGAGTAATAGTAGTTCATCTGGAGAATTTGACGTCCAAATAAAGTCTTCAGCCCTCCAGGCACCTGTCACTGATTCCCCAGTTGACTTTCCAAGAACCACTTGTAATAAATCCTAACCACCACTGAACTTTGCCATCACAAACTGCCCTTTGTCAAACTCACTCATGTTACCTAGCTCATTTCTACAGTATGTCCTTTAACAGATTAACTTGAGGGTAAAATGTTTACGAACTACCCAGTTTTACCAATACATTAATAGGTGGCAGTTAAAGGTGTCAAGAGGTAATGGATGTTAATTACCTTACCTGTATGCATAATGTTTTACCATATCAGTGGTCACTGCTTCGAAACTTGTCAGATACTCCTGCATTTTATCTATACTAACATTACTTGATACCTTCCTACACCAATCAGACAAAAGGCCTAATCTCAATGCACCCCCTATTTTCAACCATAAGCCCTTACTTTTTTTTTTTTTTTTTTTTTTTTTTTTTTTTTTAAGCCCTTACTTTTAACCACTAGCCCTCACCAACAACCAACACACTCTGGAATTGAAGCAACAATGGTCAGGGATTCCCTAGGAATAGAGAACACCCCTTGCTGCATAGGTGACATTCTGCTAGGTAAATTAGTTCACATTTAAGTATCTATGTATGTACATAAGATACACGTCACCATAAGAGAGATGAAGCTTTTAAAAAAAGAAAAAATGGAACCTGTAATTGAAAAAAGGGGGTTAAGTTGAGCTTGATTAATTATCCTTTTCCTTTATCAGCTATTATTATTCTGAAAAAGTGATTAGTAAACCCAGCTGAAAATTTCTAGTGTAATAAATATGCTAATTTCAAAACCATAGGACATAATTACACAGTGGCGTGCAATTTTTAAAAACTTAAAATTTAAGATAGAGAAAATGAGATTGTTGAAAAGGATGAAGTCTGGAGCCTCTAAAGAGTTTTTGAGGTGACTTTTAAAAAAGCGGTTTTAATTTAGCCCTAGAAGGACTCATCTCTTACCTTAAACAAAGACACTGACCAATTGATGTCCTAACCCTCCCCTGCTCCAGGGCTGTCCCGGCGCCCGGAGTCTGGGGCCTGGAGGAAGAGTGAGCCGCCTGGTCCGCGGTCTTGGCGGAAGGCAGTTGCTGGGGCTGTCATTTCTGCTCTCCCCAAAGGGGTTTGGAGGGAGGGGCGAATGGGGTATTGATGGGGAGGAAGTGAGTAAGGCCATGTGAGTTTTTTTTCCCCCAAGAACATGTCATGTCTCTGCTAAGTGCGAAGCCCATACCCCCCGTCCTGCCCTCCCTCCGCTGGCTGGCGCTTGGGCTTGCCGGTGCACTGGTGGTGCTTGGTGTTCGGGGGTGGATGCCGGGCTGTTATTGGCTTGTTCCTCGCGGCTGCTTCTCGGGGCCTGACCCCCCGGGGCCTGGCCGCCCCTAGTGCCTTGGGTCCCTGGAGCAATGTTTGAGAGATGCGATAAACAACACAGCCCCACAACATCCAGAGCCTTAATGTAATCAGGGCGAATCTCATCCACCCCTGGGGCCTTGCCACCGAGGAGCTTTTTAACCACCTCAATGACCTCAGCACCAGAGATTGGGGAACCTGACCCAGAGCCCCCTAGCTCTGCTTCCTCAATGGAAGATGTGTTGGTGAGATTAAAGGAATAGTACACCCAAAACATGATTAGCCTTCATTTTCTACTCACCCCCATGCTGAACAACACTCTGGAGTACTTTTTTGATATCTCAAATGCATCTGGAGATCTGGGAGGCTTCTTGCTGTCTGCTGACATTCAAATAATGGAGGTCCATAGCGCCCGAGGCAGAAAGGTCCATAAAAGTCCACAAAAAACGTGTCAATATTCCTCCATACTGCTCATCCAATGTATTCCAAGTGTCCTGAGTGGGTAGCGTCCATAATTTACTCGAAACGAAGTCATTTAAAATGTTTTTAGAGCCTAAACATTAGTGTATAGGATTTCCTAAAAGCGCGCGCCTGCGAGTTCACGACTCTACGGAAACCGTGGCAGACCAAACCAGATGAAAGTGCGCATTCAGCGTCTGCTCTGCCGATAATGCAAGCGTAGAAGAAGAAATGTGCTGTTTACCTGTGCAAAGAAAGAAACAACGAAAGAAAAATGTCTGAGGACTTCAGTGTTGAGGAAGAGCATGAGTTCTTTGCCGAGCTGAATGCGCACTGTCATCTGGTTTGGTCTGCCGCGGTTTCCGTAGAGTCGTGAACTCGCAGGGTTTCTGTGAGACTGTGTCTGGTCCTTCCCGGCAAGCCAGCATCTGAAATTCCTCACTTTAAGGGCTAGATTCATACCCGCTACCCCTCGTTATATACACTACCCCCACATGCAACGAGGAATTGGGACCATCACGGGAATGTGCAACATTTAGGGCTATGACTAAAAGGGCTTGGGGTTGTATTGTGATGGGATCTTTTCGTTTTTGTTTTTTCTCTGTGCTTTGATGCAGTGGCATATGGTGGGTTTCACACTTTCAGCCGAAATTGTAAGCATAAAGTTTAATCAGAATGCATCAAAAGCAACATTTTTTTTACATATGTATTTGTATAAATGTATATGTGTGTGTTACATATATACAAATGTTACATGTTATGAAGAAAAAGAAAACCTAACCCTCCAAATGTGTTCATTCACAGAGACGTAGTGAAGTCTCCAGTCCAGAAGCGACCGTCCAGCTCCAGAGGCAGTAATGCTGAAAAATCGCCTGGTACAGCCAAGCGAAGGCGTAAAACATGAAGGAGTGTGTGGTGACTTAGTGTTAGATAATGTAAAGTGTTACTTTTAGATGATGTCGAGGAGATGGAAAGTTTTCATTAAATTGAAACAATGGGCACATGACAAGCATTTCTTTAACTTTCAGATGTTGCTGTTTACTCTGATTTTGTGTAATAAATTTTATAGTATTTTATCATATTTTGTTTTCATGTGTTCAGTATTGAGCTGTTTTTGTATTTTATCATGTTTATTCAGAAAGACAATAGCTGTAAAATCAGTATTTCAAGTAGAATTACTTTGTAGTTGCTGTAGGTTTAATTGTCAGAGTTAAACTTTAACATTATTCATTTATATAAATTTGCTTCAATCTAATTATCTTTCTAACTACAGCTTTTCTTGCTCTGAAAAAGCTTACTGTTGGAGTTTTATTTCACAGAAGTATCTTTTTCCCTCCACTTAATCCATAGTTTATTCCACTGTAATTTGCAGCCTATACCCAAATAAAACTGCTGGAACACTAAGGATTTTTCCAAAAGGCACATTTCCATGTTCTTTCTCTCATCAAATGTCCATCTATTTGCTAATCTCTGACCTCCATCTCCAAAGTCTCTCACGTGTTTTTAAATCTTTGCCACGGAGCCATGCAGTACACATTTCCAATGTCATTTGCAATTTAAAAGTTTGCAGCTAATTTGCGACTTTCAGATTGATTGTTTTCATTGAACAAAAAGAAACCGAGGTCACTTTAATTCAAGAAATGCAAAGGTTGTGGAAACCCCAAATTAGGACAAGGCAGAGTGTAAACTCTTAAACACAGGAGGGAGTGTTTATGTGTGCGTGCACAGGAGAGTTGGCAGGAACTCGTCTGGGAGCCGACCCTGATTGAAAACAGAGCTAGCCTGCAGTCAGACACATGGCGGTCCGACTGCTGCGATCCTGCTCAGATAAAGCAGACACACACATATCAGTAGATTTTAATAGGAACAGAGGAAAAGCCTTTCACCCTGCCCTCCTATTGCCAGAAAGTCCTTTTCTCTTGCACTTTTTCATTCGTATTATAAGCTGCACTGTAACTTTTTAGTGAAATCTAAGTGACATGACTAAATTGTTTTCCCTAAAAGCTTCAGTTTGCCTAGCAGTGAAGCATGGAGCGATGTCATCAATCTTGCACAGCCTACTCTTTGGGAGAGATCCATAGAATGCATCAAAGTTGAAGTCACCTTATCTGTCTGAATCTTCATGGTATTGACATAGGGGACATCTCATCACTCGTCCACCATAAGGTTCATTAATCTCTGTTTTACAGTATCTAAACATGTATTTCTTTCACTCAGACTTCAGCCTTTTGTGAGACAATTGGCTCCTTCCATTTCTTCAAGGAAGGTTTACCAATCTGTACTGTATGTCTTGGTGAGAGATCAATGTGATACAGGAGATCAATGATCCTCCCAGCTGAGTGTTCTTTAACTTCCCAGATCTTTATTTAAGCTTAGACTATAAACAGCAATGAGAAAAGGGGTTTGTCTCCTTTGTGATTTCCTTTTTTAATGTTTCAACCTATATGGCCCTGTGTCACTGTTCGCCCCTAAACCTTTGACGAAAATTAGCAGCTATATCTGCAATCAAATATGTGGAATTACTGGAGTATTTATATTGACATAGTAGAGGAACTGTATTAATCAGCCACTTACCTGAGTTTTAGGATGATGGGTCTGTTTAATATCCTAACAGTTTAGCACGGCAAAAACTATCTGAAAATAAATGTTTAGAATAACTTTTATTAACTCTTCATTTGATAAGTAAATGATAATCTTCCATTTGAATGAGTATTTTTGCTCTCAAAAAAAGCCAATTCGATGTTATGCACTTGAAATAATTGAATGCAATTGTTTTTTTCTTATTTTAAATGTGCATTGTCTTATTCTATTGGCGAAGTATCTGACTTACCTGATTATTACAAGAAAAAAGTCACTTATTTTAAGAAAAATTGACTTCCATTTAAATTTTAGATTATTCAGATCCGGGTAAGGACTTTAAGTGGACCAATTCCAAGTTGTCTTTTGTTCCTTTTCTGTGTAATGTGAACTTTCTGGTTTGTTTTGAGACATTGGGCCTTGAGCAACATTTTTGTATCCTACTGTGGGCTCTTCTGAATATACATCAGATTCTGCCAACTTTTTTTCTTCAGTTAATGATCATAAATGATCCTTGCATACCTGATGCAGTCCACCTTTGTGTAAGTGATTGCATGTTCATAAGAACTGTAAAGAGAGCAAGACTTGTAAATCTGTGTAAAACCAATCAGTGGGGAATAAATTAGCTGCAAATGCTGTGGTTGCATTGTAATAGAAGTAAAAATGGAAACAAAAAAATTTGATCTTAAAACGGTGTGAAAGACTTCTCCATTAACCAACGCAAAGCCATATTCTGGAAAAATGTTCACCATGTCTGCATACTGCCATCCCCTCATCGCACTCTCCATCTCTCTCATTCAACATAAAAATGTTCAAACTAAGTTCTTAAATTCAGACAGACCAAAACCTTCCACACTGAGACTAGGAAAAAAAAAATATTACTTTTACTTTTAATAGTTTTGTGTAATGATAAATTCAAGATTGTGCCCAGAAGTAAACTCAACGCATGTTTTACCTTTAGACTAAGACATGAGCATTTCAAGCACCAATGCTGAATTTTCTGCTCCAGATGTTAGTAGCTTGATCTGACATAGATCTCATTGATTGTTCTCTCTTTTGACGAAATGACAACAAATACTGACATGCCAGCTGTAGGTTTTGTGACGGTGTAAATGGACCTCTAAAAAAAACACATGTAGTCATTTAGTGAAAAACTAGGTTTGGATAACAGCTGACTGCGCAAGATTCCTACGCCAAGTCTTACGCACTCAAATTTGCTCATACCTGAGAGATGTTTAGAAATAGAAGAAACGTTTCGAATGTAACATTTTATCCTAAATCACTCAATGATTTACAACAAATTTGTTCATACGAATGCTTCTAGCATAAGAGGAGCTCCTTGAGTATTTTGTTTTATTTGACAGCAAAATTCAGACTTCTATTTAAAACAATTTATATTTCAGATATTGAGGTTTCAAAGCCCCCCCCCCCCCCCCCAATCCATCACATTACTACCATAATTGCTCGTATGTTTCTTTTCTGAAATGCAGTTACCTGAACACACTCACCTTTAAAAAAGATCTATCTTTGTCATCAGTCCGAAAGATATTTTCCAAAAGTTTTATGATTAAGATTTTCCTCAGGCATTTATGTTCCTTCTACTCAGCTGTGCTTTTCATCTGGGAACTCTGCCATGTGGGCCCTAGTTTCTTTCGGACATTAACTAAGGCAAGAGAGGACTAAGGTTCATTGGACTCATACTGTGGACTGTTTTGTGGCCACCCTGAAGATTTATCACAGCGCACTTGGTAATTTTTATGGCCATGTGCAATAGGATTTTTTTCCCCCTCTTATAAGAGAACTGCTTAATTTTAAGACTCCAGTATGTGCAAGCTAGGGTGATCTTTGTCTAATGTTAAAGTTGTTGAAAATCTTGAATATTTACATAAAACAAACATATAGCATAAATCATGAAGGGTGCCTGTACGTTTTTTTTAATTTACAATCGTGTTCACTTATATTTACAGTTAAAATTCTACTCTAGAATATTGATATCCGTTTATAGTGCTTTGCACTTTCTGTTCCTTATATCAAATCTTAACATTTTGATTTCCATTTCATATGTAAAAAAAACAACACATTAGTTTATTACAAAGAAATCAGGAAGGTTTGGTGGACCTTTGCATTACTATATTTAATTGACAAACCTAGAAGAAAACTCATAGAAAAAATGCACTGCTAATGGCTTTTAAACTCTCTTCTGTTAAACCTCTGTTAAGTTATGAATCAATATCTCAGGTTTTGAACATCTCAGAGCGCTGTATAATCCATTATCTGAAAATTAAGAGTATGGCTTCAGCAAGACAATGACATATACCTAAACTGAAAGGCCAAACAAGGAAATCACAGGAAAGTATTTGAAAAGTTCAACTATTCAGGTTGGACAAGCTGTTAATAGGACATTAATTGACACTGACAAATATGGTCTTTTTGGTAACGAAGAACAAGAAAGGAAAACAGTGACTGAAATAGATTTAAGACTGGGGCAGAGGTTCACTTTCCAGAGGGACTGCGACCCTAAACGTACAGCTGCAGAGCTTAGATCAAAGTTAAGTCATAAACCGATCAGTCTTGAAAATTAGCGTTCAAAGATACAGTTGATCTCCTCTGATTGTGCTGTTTGGTAAAAGATGGGGAAAATATTCTTTGAGTCTGAGATTTTAACTTGACAAATTGTGTAGACATTTCAGCGGGCATGAGTACTTTTATCAGAAATATTTTCAACCATAAACCCAAGTTCTATAAAGGTATTCAAGGTATATTTGATTGGCAAAAATTGTATAAAAGGGAAGTAATTCCTATTATGACTCCACTGAACTCCTAAATGTGAATTATTGTCTCTTGAAGTGTTGCAGAGAAGTTTAAATCCAATCATTTTGGGCATGCATATAATCAATTAGGGCTTTTTAATGATTTATTTGATCTGCTCCTTTCTCAGATTGGAATGATAACACAGTTCAGCTTTAAGCAGACAGAAAAAAAACAAGTTTGCATTTATTATTTTTTCCCCCCCATCTCAAAATTCTACAATATAAATCAACTATAAACATAAAGCCATACTAATACTTGATTAAATGTCTTTTGGAAAGTTCTTTTTAAACTTCTTGTTTTTTTACAGCCATAATCTTGGCTGCCTTTTTGACCACTCATTCAGTCAGAATCGGTGAAGGGGGTTAGTTTCCTTGCCGGAACCCGACCTTCAAGCAAAGTTCATAAATCTTCAGTATGGTTTGAGTCTTGGTCTTTAAAAAATAAGCTAAATCTTGGCCTGCTTTGTTGAGTCCAAATTAATTTGAAGTGTGCTTGTTATAACTGTACTGAACACCTAAACTGTCTAAGTTAAAGTCTTCTCTCCAAGCTCATCACCCTCGTATGCAAAGATGGTTCACAATGTTCAAAACCAAACCAGAAACCAACCGCACTCATGTTAATCATGCACCGGAAGATGCTATAGTATCAATGTCAGTATCCACAATGAAATCTGTTCAACACTTGTTTGACTGGAAAATTTCTGGTCAGAAACGAACAAACTGCTCCAAAATGAACGTCTTCCAGCTTAACTAAAATGCGTAGTTACATCAACAGCCCAGTTGGACACGCAGAATGCCACAAATTTAGATTGGATAAAAGTCTTCAAAACCTAATAATACTGGTATGCTGGGATTCTGTTTTAAAACCAATGGCACAGGTACATTCATACAAAAATTATGTTATAGGAGTAATATCTTAAAAATGTTTGACTCCACCTCAAACAAACAGATATACAGCGTCAGCGTTGCAATGACCCATTTGTTTGCTGATCTCTGTCTGCATCCTGTTTTGGTCTTTCAGGCATACTTTATAGATAGAATTGATTTTTTTTTATTTGTGCCAGGGCAGTTCAGCTTTAAAAAAATGTTTGTATAAATATCAAGATAATATCAAAAAGTTTTATTTGAATTAAAGACATCATTTTTGCATATGGTTGCAGTGATGTGTGTTATGTTTGGTAAACTTGCCCCCTGGAAGCACCAGGAACCTAATAATTGCTCTCTAACACATGGGGTAGGTTTGCAGGATCAGCAGTCCACAGCCCAAAGACAATTGCTACTACATCCTTATATGCAGTGTTGTATAGTAACAAAGTAAAAATACTTCACTACTGTACTTTAGTATATTTTGGAGTACTTTATACTTTCCAAGAGTATACATTTTTTGACAACTTTCACTTTTACTTCACTACATTTACAAACTTAATTGCATACTTTTACTCTGATACAATTTCAATGTTTGGTTTAGTTACTAAGTAAAAAAAAAAAAAACGAGCGAGAGAAAGGCAAGTGTTTTGACCGCACCTACTGACTACAAAGTCGGGTCTTGCCTGGGCTTGTCAATTAACACCAATAGGATACGCCTGTTTTGCAAAGCCAGTCTAAATTTATCCTACACTTGGCTGTTTATATTATTTTAAGTGAATTTAACCTTCAAAGTTTACCAAAATGTTAAAAAATGTCATTCAAACTGCACTTACTTTTTACTTATACTTTTTACTACATTACTTGAGTACATCTATTTTTACAGTAATTCTTATACTTCAGTACAAGTCATTTCAGATACTTTAAGACTTTTACTCAAGTAACATTTCAGTCAGTGACTTGGACTTTTACCAAAGTTATATTTTGGAGAGGTACTTATACTTTTACTTGACTCCGAGATTTCAGTACTTTTTACAACACTGCTTATATGCAATATGAGCCTGCAGACCAGCTCTTGAACAGCAAAACCGCCCAGCAGAGAAGAAGGGAAACGTCATAGAAACTTTAACTCTCTGGCCCAATCAACAATGCTCTCTGCTGTAAGGCAGCCTAAATGGCCACTAAGGTCCAAAATTCCCTACTCTACTGCTGTTTAATATGTTGTATGTGTTCAAAAGAGGGTGATAGGCACCAGAAAATCAGCACAAATTCCCATCTTAGCCTCACCACCAAGCTAAGACCATGACTAGAGACTGGACTTCTTGACCGTGATGAGAAAAATTGGATTTTGGGGAAAAAACACAAACTAAAATGGAAGCTACCTATTATGCTAAGCAGAGTGGTTAAATATGGAAGCAGTATCTTTCAGAAGCTAGTTAATGGCTACAAAAGACTGATACTAGTTGCTAAGAAGCATGTGAGCAAATTTTAGTTGACGTGTACATATGAGTTTGATCCTGTGCAAATCAATGTCAAATAAAACAAAACATGTTTTATTAGCTCATTGCATGTGAATGCAGTAAAATGATGCCATCAAGGAAAAATTTGTTTTATTATATGAACCTTTGAAAACCAGAAAAAGGAAAGCACCTTGATATTAATCAAAAAAGGCTGGTCTTTAATGTTTTTTCTTTCCAACACCAAAACAAGAGGCATTAAATAACTCTTCTGGCTGCTCTGAATGTAAACAAAGTTGTATGGCAGTGTAATTGTATATGTTTCGCTTGAAATGTCCATTAGAAAGAACATTTTTAGGAACAATACTAATACCTATTTGAGCTTGGAGACTTGTGTTTTCAATCTTATGTTATCAACATGTTGTCATAGAAACAGCTGTTGATGCATACTTTTTAGATAATGAAAACCATATCAAATGCAAAGGTCTAAAATAAAACTGTCTGTCCACTTTAGGTTCTTTAAAAAACCATTGAATCAATGCTGAAAAGGTAACTTTGAG